AGGGAGTTTTATCATATTTTTCCGAGGTACCTTATTTAAAAGGTAATTGCTTGACAAGACTGCTTTGTCCCACATATTTTGTGGCAGACCCGAACTTATTAGCATCACATTCATCATATCTTTCAATGTGCGATTCTTTCGTTCGGCAACACCGTTTGATTGAGGTGAATAGGGTGCGGTACGTTCATGTACTATACCCACGCTCGCGCAAAAATCACCAATTGGTGCTTCATACTCACCACCTCGATCACTTCTAACCATTTTAATTCGTCAATTAAGTTGGTTTTCCACTTCATTCTTATAAAGAATGAATTTATCGATTGCTTCGTGTTTATTTTTTAATAAATAAACGTAGCTATAGCGAGTGCTATCATCGATAAAGGTAATAAAATATTTATTACCGCCACGTGTTTGTATTGATTTAAAATCACAAACGTCACTATGAATTAATTCAAGTGGTTCCGTTTTTCTTTCAACCGATTTGAAAGACGTTTTTGTTAGTTTTGCCTCTACACAAACTTCACATTTGTGCTTCACATCAATTGTGAATTTAGGAATGTGTTCCATGTTAATTAGTCTACGTATAGAATTAAAATTAACATGTCCTAGTCTACCATGCCACACATTAGAAGACTCAAACAAGTAAGCAGAAGAGATTTTATTATTATTATTAATAATAGTCATTACATTGAGCTTAAACAGCCCATCAATTGCATATCTCTTGCCCACATACATTCCCGATTTAGACAAAACTAATTTGTCTGACTCAAAAACCATGCGGAAGCCATGCTTGTTCAACAAAGAACCCGAGATCAGGTTTTTGCGTATCTCCGGGATGTACAACACATTGTTGAGAGTTAGCTCCTTGCCCGAAGTCATCTTCAGGACCACCTTGCACATGTCTTCAACCTCGGAATGAGCAGAATTCCCCATCCACACCTTCTCACCATTTGATGGCTCAAAGGTTGTGAATAGCTCCCGGTTAGAGCAAATATGCCGGGTTGCACTGGTGTCCACGAACCACTCCTTGGAATTGGATCCAACGAGGTTGACCTCGGTCACCACGGCCGCAAGAATGATGTCTTCATCCTTTTGCCCACCTTGCACCATGTTGACTTGAGAGTCTTTCTTTTTTCTTGGTGCCTTGCAATCCGAGGACTTGTGTCCATTTTTGTTGCAATTGAAGCATTTTCCATTAAATTTGGGATTGGAAACGCTTCCCTTGGGACCGAGCTTTCTCATCCCATTATTTTTATTTTTGGAGCCTTTTGCATGCTCCACCACGTTGGCCTTGGCGCCGCTAATGATTGGGAGTCTCTCATCGTTCTTCGGATTATCCTCTTCAATCCGCAGACGGAGGATCAACTGCTCCAAGTTCATTTCCTTTCGCTTATGCTTAAGGTAGTTCTTGAAATCCTTCCAAGCCGGCGGCAATAAATAGATAATTGACGCCACTTGGAAAGACTCACTAATTGTCATTCCTTCATCTCGAATTTCGTTGAATATCGTTTGCATTTCTTCAACTTGACTCAAGACCGTCTTCGAATCCACCATTTAAAATCAAGGAATCGACCGACAACAAATTTCTTTGCGCTGGCATCCTCGCTTTTATATTTGTGATCCAAAGCATTTCATAGCTCCTTAGCTGTAGCTAATTTGCTATACACGTCGTACAAATCATCATGCAGCCCATTCAACACGTAGTTTTGGCAAAGGAAGTCAGAATGCTTCCAAGCTTTGACCGCGTTGAAAGATTGCGCATCCACCTCACCTCCGGTTACTACCGGCGCATCCTCGGTCAAGAACCTCGCATTGTTGGGTGTGTTTTGAAAAACAAAGAAATGTAATTAATAAAAATAATTAATTAATTAAAATAGATAAAAGAAAACAGAAAGTAGATGAAGCAGAATTAGCCAAAGCTCATGCAACGCACGATGTCCTTAAAACGTATTTGCTGCCTCCCGGGGTGCTAGGAGTGTTGCAACAATTGTTTCCCAGGATACGATGACTACGAACAATGGTTTGAGCACTCAAACAAATTGTTCCGGCGAACGAGAACAAGTATGAACATCAAGGAATTTTTCAGGAATGCTAGAAGTGTTTTTGAGAGCTAAAGAGTGCGTGGTGAACGTTTTTATGTGTGTTGTTGCAAACCACCTGCTAGCCAATTTATAGAGGAAGATTTGTTGTGAGTTAATGACGTTTTAATGGACATTACCGTTGGACATCAATGTCCAAAACGTTGGCATTGAATCGTCCGTAAGTGTCCATTTAATTGCAAGAAACATTGGACATTTAATCTCCATAACGGAAGCAACAGGCTACTAGCGAGCAGGCGGCTCAGCAGGTGGCTGAGGGCAGCAGGCGGCTGAGCAAGCGGCTCAGCAGGTGGCTTCCTGGAAGCAGGTGGCTCAGCAGGCGGCTCCAATGGGCAGAACTTTGAGAATCTATTTCTCATTCACCCGTTATCCGTTTTGAGTGTATCACATATCGAATTGTAGCCCTTAACAAGGACAATCCGAAACCACTTTGACCCGACCCAAATCGGAAGTGGACCCCACTCAAAATATTGCCCCAAAATGACCATTTAATGCAATTTCTTAACACATTTTCCAACATTATGATCGATGTTTATGGATGAGAAAATATTTTATATTGGGCCTGAAGTCCCATAAATCAAGATATTGTGCACGTAGGGTGACAATACTTGAGATTGAATGATTTTGAGACCACATTCCTGTTATAGTTTACAGTTCTGTAAATGTGGCAGTTGATGAGAAAATTGGATGTCATTGTTATAATATAATATCAATCGTGTCCCTGAAAGACAATAGTGAAAAGAAATATGTGCACACAACATGCAACATGAATATGAATACTTTTATGTTTATAATAATTAGATAAGGTGATTGTGTGTTAAGTTACGGTAATTATATTTGGAATTATTCTTAAAAAGGAATTTGAATTTGATTGAATAACTGCAACAATAAATAATGCAGTAAATACCAAGCATAGATGAAAAACATACAAAATGGACGCTTGTGCCTAACTACAACCTGGGTGACTACAATAAGTCTTGATGACATGATTTATTTTGTATAAGAACTATGCTTGATCATCATGGTGCAAAATTCTCGTATATTATTTAATATAATGATTGAACAAGGTCTTTGCACTATGTCAAAATATCACTTCTAATGAGTGTCTCCTGTAGAGGATCTAATGTGAACAATTTTCTTATGTGTTTTCACATGATTTAATGACTAGAATTTTAAATATAAAGTGAGCTATATTCGTACTACTTCTCAACCTTTCTTGCATAAAGAGTTGAATGAAGAAATCATTATGCAATGAATTTGCAATTGCTCGTAAACCTTCTATTTGTTTACCTGAAGTAAATATATATTATTTTATGAACCAAATTGTATAAATAAAGGTGTTGGAAGCTTTTAATTAAGTGTCTATCCAAACCTAGAAACAACACATGAGAATCTTTTGATTTCAATGGTGTTTGATTATATAATAAATAAAATATCCAATCATCATATTATGCACACCTGAAGTGTTTGTATACTAATTTGAGATCCTAGGAGGATAAAAACATGTCCCATTTATGTTTTATGGACAAATGTTTGAGAATACTCAATTATTAAATGTTTTATGTGCATATGAGCATTAACACCAAATTTGATGGTCTTGAAATACAAGTAGCAAAATCATGAGTTTAAACAATTGCTTCTGCTTAGAAACTCTTGAACAATTTGGTTACTAATGCCATCAGATTTGTATAAATAATGATGGAGGTTTTGTATACTAAGGATTTTCATTAGCTCAAATTATATGGAGTTGATTGAGGTGAAATAATTAATTGGTCCAGAAGACCAAGTGCTATTATCATCTAGAAGAGTGATTCTAATATTTGTTCGGGAGATAGTACCCTGAAGGTCTTAATTGGTCCTTGTGAAATCGAACAATTTATTGGTCTGGAAGACCATATACAATTGTACTCTTTTTCCTTAACGAGGTTTTGTCCCATAGGGTTTTCTTGGTGAAAGGTTTTAACGAGGCAGTTTGTCACTTTGAAATAACATATTATGATACATAAAATTCGGAGTATTATTTTTCTCTAGAAGAGTAAATTCAAATGCAATCCAGAAGATAATGCCCCGAAGGCAATGACTGTATTCTTTTCCTTTATTAAGTTTTTCCCACATGATTTTCTTAGTTAAAGTTTTTTAATGAGGCCGTCAATACAACACATCGTTTTACATATATTATGCACTCTTTTTCTTGATTGGTTTTTTTCCCAAAGTGTTTTTCCAACGAGGTTTTTAATGAGGCATACACATAGTACAATTTGTGCTACAAGAAGCTTGTGACCAGAATAGATTGGATTCTACAAGAAGTCTTGAAGTGATGCAGTCAATAGGGGAAGTACATACACGCTGCACTCTTTTTCCCTTGACCAAGGTTTTGTCCCACTGGGTTTTCCTCGACAAGGTTTTTAACGAGGCACCATTTTCAAGCGTATAAAGAGAATGACCACCTTTTGTAATTTTTTAGTAATGTACATTTAAGGGAGAGTGATGTAATTACGTAGATGTCCATTAATCCATAATTTATAGGTCCATATGTGATGACCCGTATCACGATTGTAACATAGCTCCCTTCTCTTATATATATGTTACTACGTCTGAATGAAATAGAGACCTTGATGCTGCCTCATACCACTTAGAATTTCAACTTCTTATAATGAGTCTCCTCCTATGGATTAATGATTGATGCAGCCCCACTCGCACGGGTAGTTCAGTTGGTCAAGTGGTGAGAGATTTGGAACAATGGACCAAAGTTCGAATCCCCGCAGCGACCGGGTGGAGGTCACAGAACCTGAAATAAGGCTGAGTCTCTGGTGCGCACGAGTGTATGGGCCTACTGCCATTCTGCTGACTGAGTTACCGTGACTAACTTCCCTCCATCCTGTCGGATCGGGATGGGGGCTCCTGGGGTGGGAGATTCCACCTTTTGGAAAGATGATGGATGCAGCCCTAGATTCAACGAGTATGCCATTTATCTTCCATATCAACCTACTTTTGAAGAAAGCTTATGGATCAGTTTATTTATCTTTGAAACTGATGAATCCTCCCGTTAGGTTCTGGATACTTCAGGTCGGAACGGTCCAGTCCTCTGCCACTCCTCTCTCTGCTCAGGGGTGGAAAATCTCACCACCTGGCTTTACTTAACCCTAAACAAATCATTATTTCTTTATGCAGGTACTCCATTGAACTTGAAATATTCCGCCATGGACGTAGCTAAATGCACTTCATATCCGTTCCGTTCTCCTGCCCAGCATCGCCCTTTTGCTCTTTCTAGGGTTTCCCATTCGTTGCTCATATATCCCGGTGGTAACCATTTACTCCGTTGGAAGAAAATGTGCTCAGCTTCGAACTCTCAAACCCTCATTGCTGGTTCGCCCAAGGAGAAGGAAAGACCGCACGAAGTTGTCACCTTAAAGGAAGAAGATGACTTAAAATCCTGGATGCACAAGAACGGACTCCCTCCTTGCAAGGTCGTGCTTAAGGAAAGGCCCTCGCACAATGTTAACCATCGCCCTATACGCTACGTTGCCGCGAGCGGTGATCTTCAGGTTCGCAGTGGAAAAGCTGCTTCTTGATTTTTAATTTACTTTGTTTGCTTTCTTAATTTCTATTTCTTTTTTACTTTGTTATCTCAGACGGGTGATATTGCGTTTTCTGTACCAAATACGCTGGTTGTAACACTGGAGAGGGTTTTAGGAAATGAGACAGTCGGTAAGGTGTTAAGATCTCATCCATGCTACTGTGTACTCCCTCCATTTTTTCCATTTAGGTCTGTCATAATAAGATTGTCCCGTATCAAGTTTGCTAATGTTTGTATGGTTCTATATGGTTCTTACTTTATTCTCTTAATAACTGCGTCACCTCATTTACCAAACTTAGATGGACGGGCTAGTATTAACTTTTCTTTGTGTGAAGGTGCTATTTGCTATCAAAATCATGCATGTTAGCATGTATTTAAAAAAAATCATGCATTTATTATAAATGTGTACCTCCAAGCGGACTAAGTCTTCTAAGTTTTGGGATATGATTGGAATGAGTCTTCTCCTTATATAATTTCTGATGCAGCTGAACTGTTGACGACAAACAAATTATCAGAACTAGCTTGTTTGGCACTATATATCATGTATGAAAAGAAACAAGGAAAGAAGTCCTTTTGGTACCCATATATTAAAGAGCTTGACCGTCAACGAGGCAGGGGGCAGCTAGCTGTTGAGTCTCCTCTTCTATGGTCAGAATCTGAACTGAATTTCCTCACAGGGAGTCCCACGAAGGTATTTTAAGCTCCTATCTGTTGAGAGTTGAGGTTGAAATTTGTTTTCTGTCTCTATTCATTTTTAATGGAATGTTATGATAAATAAGGGTGAAGTCCTCGAGAGATATGAAGGAATTAAGAGAGAATATAGAGAGCTTGATACAGTATGGTTCATGGCCGGATCACTTTTTAAGGTCCATACTTTGGTGGTCTATGTTTTGGAAATATTTATCATTCCTCTATTTGGGATTAGTGGACTTAATCCTGATACTGATTGTTTAGGGGTTATATGCAGCAATACCCGTATGATATACCAACAGAAGCATTTCCTTTTGAGATTTTCAAACAAGCATTTGTCGCAGTCCAATCCTGTGTGGTGCATTTGCAGGTTATCTTGATTGGAATTTTGTTAATTGTACTTTTTCTTGCATTTGGTTGAAGAGTGCCTAGGTCTGTTTTTTGCTAGAACCAGGGGAAATTATTGTTGTTCTTTATGGATGTTCATATCAGTTTCCTTTTATCAGTCAGTAATCGGAAAGTTTCTTATTGTTGTTTATTAGATTATATTCTATTTTATTTATGTTCTCAAATCTATTAGTTTAGTGATCTAAAAGTTGCTAACCAAGATTCTTGGAAGTAGTATAGATAGAGGGTTTTTATTCACTATTAAGGGATGGTGTAGTATAACAACCATGTAAGCTTAAATGCAGAGTTTTTGCCAGTGCGCCTAATATTCATCTTTCCGTAGGGCAAGAAGCCTCGGTTCTTTCTTCGATCCTCCATAGCATTCATCATTCCTCTTCTTCTTTCTTCATCTTTTATCCACTATGTCTTTAACAACATCTTTTTCTACTTTATAAAGTTTTTCCCATTTTTGGTCCCCGACTGTGTGTCATTGACACTTTTGTTACTCGACTTTTAATTTTCCAATTCTAGTCCTCGACTATTGTGCTAGAGACATTTTTAGTCCTTGACTTCAAAGTTTCTCACATTTAGTCCTCTTAGTATTATCAAATTGACACTTTTAGTCGTTCTACTATGATTTTGATACAATAAATGGAGGACTAAAAATGTTATTATTATAATAGTTGAAGGACCAAAAGTGTCACTTTTATGAAAGTTGGAGGACTAAATATGGAAATTTTCAAAGTGTACCAAAATTCTCTAGCAAGATAGTCAAGGACTAAAAGTGGAAAAAATCAAAGTCGAGTACCAAAAGTGTCAATGACATAATAGTCAGAGGACTAAAAGTGGCAAAAACTCTACTTCATATTATTGTATTTGATACTTACAGTTTTCTTTGCAAGCAGAAAGTTAGTCTCGCTAGAAGATTTGCACTAGTTCCTCTAGGGCCACCATTACTATCCTATAGCAGCAACTGCAAAGCAATGTTAGCAGCTGTTGATGGTGCTGTGCAACTTGTTGTTGATCGTCCATATAAGACTGGAGAACCAATTGTTGTTTGGTATGGACTCTGCAAACTTTACAGAACTTCACACCTAAGTCCTCTGCCCCTCCATCATGTTCTTCTATGCTGGCAATCTGCATAACGTATCAGGATTGACATTCTTTTTCTTTATGTCATCAATGCAATATGATTTGCTTCTTAAACATCGAATGATGCATGTATGTAGGTGCGGACCACAGCCTAATTCAAAATTGCTCATAAACTATGGTTTTGTTGATGAAGACAATCCTTATGATCGAGTCATTGTTGAGGCAATTTTCCTGTTCCTCTGTTCTTCACTTCTATTGACTTAATGTGAGTGTTTTCAATTTATAATATAAAGCTTTCACTCGGTCAGGCCGCTCTGAATACAGATGATCCTCAATATCAGGACAAGAGACTGGCTGCTCAAAGAAATGGAAAATCAGCTGTGCAAGCTTTCCATGTATACTTTGCTTTGCATTCTTTTTCAAATTACTTTTCTCTTAATATTGTAAATAGTTTCGGCCTCGTAAAAAAATGATGAAGGCTTGCTCCCTATACACCCTCAGGGTGGGGCCCTTCTCCGCATCCCCTCCTTGCTAGGATGCCATTATCCACTGGGCTGCTCTTTTATTGTAATTGGATTCATTACTTTACTTATTGATCCAGGTATACGTGGGAAGAGAAAAAGAGGCTATTCAAGAGATGCTTCCTTATTTACGATTAGGACATGTTTCAGACCCTTCAGAAATGCAATTTGTCCTATCTTCTCAAGGCCCGGTTTGTCCGGTGAGTTTATCTTTCTGATCAATGGTTGTGTATTTTCCATACTCTTCACAGTGGGAAATATTGAAGGATGACAAATTTTGGCATCTGCCAGAATTCTGACTTTACTCGAGCTTATCCAATAGGTGAGCCCATGTGCAGAGCGTGCAGTTCTGGATCAGCTAGCTGAGTATTTCAAGAAAAGGCTACTTAGCTATCCCACCACTCTTAGTGAAGATGACACATTGGTAATCTTCCTGGAGGCTAGAACGACTTTTGTATTGAACCCATCACACTGCCATATATTTAGGCTTTTATCTTGCATGATATGTTTTTTCTCTCACAGCTGGCTGATAGTGATCTAGATCCAAAAAGGAGAGTTGCCACACAACTTGTCAGGTCTGAAAAGAGAATCCTGAACACGTGCTTGCAGACAACATTGCATCTTATTAACCAGCTACCTGGTCACTCTGTATCTCCATGTCCTGCTCCTTATGCTCCTATATTCAAATGATAGGTAACCTCTCTCTGCCCCCTCTCTGAGGCTTGATGTGTGCCTTACCCAAATTCTGGCAAATATTTATGAACTTTTTAAAGCACAATCCATCCTTAACGAGCTTGATTATATAGAATATAAATTAATTCTTTCTTTAAATTATAGATTTTCTCCCCCACAAGTGTTCTTTTTTCATCTTTGTCATTAACTTAGGATGTTTTTAATTGGAATGTAATTTTCTGATCTTGTTTAATTTGGTCTATTCTGTTTAAGTTTGTTGTGCTCTAGTTGATGTCTGTTCAATGTGTATTTTACAACTCCCAAAGTCTGGACCGATTTGGTCTAGTCTGGTTTGGTCTGTTTAAATCTGGTCTGATATTGAAACCCATCCAATTTAAAACATCCTTACTAATGTAGTTGTATTCTGTAACTTTCTTGCAGTATATTCTTTGGAAAAGAAAATACATATCGTTTTCAAAGCGCAAATGGGGTGTTGCTGCAGATGATATTTGGTGCGAAATATTGGAGGAGACCTGATTGAACTTTGTACAGTTGTTGTACATGTAATAGAATAGCAATTTCTAGCTACTGCCTGATGCTTTTCTTTCTCACATGAAGCTGTACATTTTTTACTCCGTGTAGCTAGTTGCCTGAGGTTTCAGTTGTTTTCAGAATTATGGTTCAACCTAGAATGGTCTGCCGTATAATCAATTAAGTGTTCCCAGCCTAAGGGGTAGCTCAAGTGGTTGGAAGAACAGATGACTTGTATAACATCCTGAGTTCAGACCCCAGGAGGATAACGAATTCACAAGTTATAGTGGGGAAGAGGATTATGGTACTTGGATATGGGGTCTCTAGAGAGGGAGGCACTTACCCCGTGGACCAGACTCCATCATTTGGGTGCGCTCATGTAGGTCTAGGGTCAATCTGTCATAAGAATGCTGGTTGTAAAATAAGTGTTCTATTTGAAAGAATTCTCAATAGTACTAATATGTATGTACTCGACGCTTTGGTTTTTTTGTTCTTGTCTAATCTGGATTGGTTTTACATGTAATTTTAAGTGTTGTAAATATAGTCTGGACTAGGGATGGACCCGGGCCGTTCCGGTTCCGCTTCTGGGCCGGGCTTGGGTGGGCTTTTTTTCATATTACTTGGGCCCGGAACTGGCTCGGGTTGATACAGGGTCCGGGCCTAATCGGGCCAGGCCCGGTTCAATGTTTAATATTTTTTTGGCTTTCTTGTTATCTTCCGACCCCCTCACCCCTGACCCCCCAAACCTCCCCAAAACACCTGACCCTACCCTAGGAAAAGAAAAAAATTGAAAAAATGGCCCGGAATCGACCCGAACCGGCTGGTCCGGTTCAACAAAATGGGGCCCGTACTGGCCCGCCAGACTCGCCCAACCCGGGCTAAAGCCCGGAACCGGCCATCAAGGTCCGGTCTGGGCCCGTACAGTAACGGGTCGGGCTGGTTCCGGTCCGGTTCGGCCTGGTTGGGTCCATGCCTAGTTTGGACTTGTCTGGTCCACTTAGGGGTGGACCGGTTCTGGTTCGGGCCCGGTCGGGCCTCGGTTCATGAAGGGGAGGTTCGGACCTGGCCTGGGTAACCCCCGGGTCCGGGTCGGGTTGGGCCTCGGTTCTAATTTTTTTTTTTTGGGTTTTCCTAGTTAACCCCCAACCCTCCCCCTCACCCCAAACCAACCCTAACCACCTCAAATGGTCCAAAATACCCAACCCAACCCAAAAACTTAAAAAAAATTCAAAAAAAAAAATAATAAATTGGCCCGGCCCAGGCCCGAACCGGCCGGGCCGGTTCACCTTTTGAAGGGCCCGAGCCCGAACCGCCATCCCACCGGGCCGGGTGGCCCAAACTAGGGATGGATTCGGGCCGAGTCGGGCCCGGTCGGGCCGCCGGTTCGTATCACATGGGCCCGGGACCGGCCCGAGGGTTGGACGGGTCCGGTTCGGGCCGGGCCACCCGCCCGGGTCACGGGTCGGGCCACTCGCCGGGCCGGGCCGGGCCGGTTAAATATATATATTTTTTAATTTATATTTTATACTTTATAGTTTTATACAAGTATTAAAAAACAAACTTCAAGTGCATTTATTTGAAATGAAATAGGAACTACATTTGAAAATTAAATATGAACTATAATTGTTTTTAATCGGAATCTTCGGCATAGGTAGAGCCACCCTCTGTTGTAGATTCATCCATAAAGTGTTGGGATGGAGTGATGTCAATTTCTTGAGCTCTACGTGCTGCTTTCAACCAATCGTGGTAGCATATAAGCATCTCAAGAGATTCAGCGCTCAACCTCGTTCTGGTTTGTGTTAGAATATTGACGGCCGAACTAAATTCTTGTTCCACGGCAACCGTTGAAACCGGCATTGATAGCACTTGCTTAGCCATCTTTGCTAAAACCGGGAACATTCTTTCTTTTCTCTTCCACCAGTTTAGTACGTCAAACTCATCATCTTCTTCAAAATCAACATCATAAGTTAAATACAAAGAAATCTCATTAATTGTGCTTTGTTGTGTAGCGGGAGTTGATTTTTGTTTTTTAATAAGATTGGCAAACGTAGATTTGAAAATTGATTTTCCTTTAGATGATGTTTGTGTCGGGGGAGGGGACGCATTGCCATATTGTGCATGAAACTCATTGAATAATGCATAAAATATATCACTAACCTCGTTGTATTCTTTTTTCGGATCAATTGGGTTGTCCTCATACATTGGCAATGGACCAAAAAAAGCAGCATAATAATAATTCAAACATTCTTCTAAAGAACCAAGTCTAAAACGAGGATCGAGAACAAATGCAATACCATAAATATGCGGAATATGTGAATAATATTTTAAAAACTTTTCCTTCATAAAACCAGCAAAATAACTCACATAATCAGCATTCTCAAAATTTGAAAAAGCACCGGCGAGATTAACAGCTTCACGAATAAATTGGTTTGAGGTAGGTTTATAAACATGACTAAAAGTTTCAGTTGCATTATTAAAATATATCAAAGCATTACAAATTTTTTCACAGGTGTCGATCTCAGCCGAGTTTATAATATAGTTATCATATTGTTTCATAAAAGCAGGAAAATGTTGTTTATATCTAAGAAGAACTCCAATTAACTTATAGGTACTATTCCAACGAATAGACAAATCTTTTGGAAAAGCCACATATCTCTCACCTCTTTCTATCAAATAATCATGCCATTTTTTCCTAAGTTGTCCATTACCCCAAATACGTCTAATCCCTCCCTTGATTACCTCCAACGATGCTCCCAACGCTTTTAGACCATCTTGCACACATAAATTTAGAACATGACATGCACATCGTTGATGAAAAAATCTACCCATCAAAGAAGTAGAACCACACAATTCACGCAATCTAGGAATAGCAGCAGTATTATTAGTAGCATTATCAAAACCAATAGCAAACACCTTATCAATTAAATTATACTCAATTAAAATACGTTCAATCAAAATATAAATGTGTTCAGCGGTGTGACGATCATTAAATTCACGGAAAGCAAGAACACGTTTATGCATATGCCAATCATTATCAATATAATGTACAGTCAGACCCAAATAATGTAAATTATGATAAGTATCCTCCCATATGTCAGAACATACAGTAACACGTCCATCAAAGTTTGCAAAATAATTTTGTAACCTTACCTTTTCCGCACCATAAAGCCTTGAAATTTCTTTCTTAACCGTTTTGCGACTATAACCTCTATATTGCGGATTTAAACAAGTTTGTGCATAATCACGAAAAGCAAGACTTTCAGAAAACAAATAAGGCAATTTTTCTTCAACAAGTAAGTTAGCCATACCTGTCAAATTTTGTGCATCATTGTATGAGAAATTACCAAAATCTTGTTGGTTATTTGCAAACCTCGATATTTGCGTTTGCTTCCCCGTTCCGCCGCCTAATTTTGCATACTCCACCGGGTGTTTGGACTTAAGGTGTCTTGTGGCGGATCCGTATCCGCCGGAAATCCCCAAGCTATAGTTTTTCTTGCACCAATTGCAAGTTGCGGTCCAATTCCCGGTGTTCGGGTCCTTCCACTTAGAAAAATTATTAGCCATTAATTCAGATTTACTTCTTTTTGTACCTGTTTGGGATGAGGCTGCTTGGTCGGCGTCATGGCTGCCACCCTCCTCCTCCTCCTCCTCGTCGTGGCTCTCCGGAATTGCTTCGTCCACATCGTCGTCCTCGTCCTCGAGCTCTTCTTCGTCAATGGTCCTCGGTTGGTCTTGAAAAAAGCGGGAATTATGTCGGTGCAATTCTTGTTCTAGTTGTTCGTCGGTCATCGCATCCCCATCCCTACTTACGTAACCCGTATCAAAATCATCTTGACCTTGAGATGAAGAGCCGATGTGTGATTTACCTTTGCGGGATCTCTTCCTCGCAAGCTCTTTCGTTCGGTTGCGCTCGAGGTTACCCATATCAACCGAATATCTAGGACGATCCATCTAAAAAATGTAGCGATTAAAAAACTAATTAACTATTTATCTAACTATTAATTCGAGTTATAGCAAATTAAGTAGTGAATTAACTAGTTTTGTGTACAACATATTTTTTAAACTAGAGTCAAATGTAGCAATTAATAAAAAATCGTAAAAAACTAATTAACTATTTATCTAACTATTAATTCGAGTTATAGCAAATTAAGTAGTGAATTAACTAGTTTTGTGTACAACATATTTTTTAAACTAGTCAAATGTAGCAATTAATAAAAAATTGTAAAAAACTAATTAACTATTTATCTAACTATTAATTCGAGTTATAGCAAATTAAGTAGTGAATTAACTAGTTTTGTGTACAACATATTTTTTAAACTAGAGTCAAATGTAGCAATTAATAAAAAATTGTAAAAAACTAATTAACTATTTATCTAACTATTAATTCGAGTTATAGCAAATTAAGTAGTGAATTAACTAGTTTTGTGTACAACATATTTTTTAAACTAGAGTCAAATGTAGCAATTAATAAAAAATTGTAAAAAACTAATTAACTATTTATCTAACTATTAATTCGAGTTATAGCAAATTAAGTAGTGAATTAACTAGTTTTGTGTACAACATATTTTTTAAACTAGAGTCAAATGTAGCAATTAATAAAAAATTGTAAAAAACTAATTAACTATTTATCTAACTATTAATTCGAGTTATAGCAAATTAAGTAGTGAATTAACTACTTTTGTGTACAACATATTTTTTTAAACTAGAGTCAAATGTAGCAATTAATAAAAAATTGTAAAAAAGTAATTAACTATTTATCTAACTATTAAACAAGAGTCAAATGTAGCAAATTAACTAGTAATTAAACAAGTGTAAATAATAGAATAATTTCGTACCTCTTTCGGACTTTCGGTCTTTTGGATGGGAGTAATAGAATGACTTCAAATTAATTAGATATAATTCCAACTATATTAATAGATATAATAAATATATAAGTAATATATAATTAGATAACAAATATAAGTAATATAATACTATTTATATCTATTTATAGTTTATGTAAGTAGATAATTAATATAAACTATAAATAATAAATATAATATATTGGAGAATGGAGAATAAGAGAATTAGAGAGTAGAGAGTTAAGAATAGGATTTAGGAAGAATTGGAGAAGAGATATGAAAAAATGTTTAAGATTAGGAGTATTTATAGGTTTTTTTACCCCCACCCCCCCCACCCCCCACCAGCCAACCCCCCCAGACCCCCCCTTTACCCCACCCAACGGCTATATAGCCGTTTGGGTTGTCCCCAGCCCCACCCCCAACGGCTAGTAGCCCAAACCAATTTTTTTTTTAAATTAGACCCGGACCCGGGCTCGGACCCGACCCGGCCGGGCCGGGTCACAATAATCCAGCACCGAGCCCGCCCCGCCCCTTCCCCACGGTTCGGGTCCATACCTGGTCCCGGACCGCCCGACCGGGCCGGTCCCGGGCCCGCACAGTACCGGGCCGGGTGGCCCGAACCGAATCCAACCCTAGCCCAAACTGGGCAACCAACCGGTTCACCGGGCCGGTCCGGGCCCGCACAGTAGCGGGCCGGTCCGGTTTCGGGCCGGTTGGCCCGGCCCGAGTCCACTCCTAGGTCCACTATGGTCGAGTGGTCGGTCCTATATAGTGCTGGAAGCAGAATAGCAGATGACCAGATCTGCTGATCTGGTCCCAGAGAATAATAACTTGCAATCTTGCATACTCTGAGAGTGAGTGCAAAGTCCCTTTGAAGTTTGAATTAGCTACTCTTTCCATTGGATTTCTACATTTCTGGTTCTGCATCTTCATTTTTGCTAAAATTATAGTTGTAGTCCTGGACTCCTGGATTTTCTTTCTTTCGTTGAGAGTTGAGATTGTTGAAATTTGGTCCAATAACTTTGATGATTTTCTTTAATTTGGTTCTTATAAGTCATGCCTTGGGGATAGGCATGGCTCAGTGGCTCACATTAATCCCTCCTTACTAGCTGATTAGGGTAATGTTTAAACTTGAGAGAGCGGTGTTGGCTCAAAAGAATGAAAGCATTGGCAGTGACGGGGAGTTTACTCGAAAGAGATTAGAGATACCATAAGGGAGCATTCGAAAGAGAAGCCGGTTAGAAATTGGAATTTTAAAAAAAAATTTAAAAAATTAAAAATAGGGTTAAGTGGTTAACGTCGAGGGTATCTAGAAAACCTCAAATCATAATTTATCCCATTTATTTTTCGTGAGAAAATTTCACCAAACAGGAGAAAACATGGCAATTTTCCAGAACAGTAATCCTATGTATTTCGTGAAATAAGAGTAAAGTAATGTTATCTTCAAATCATATTGCTAAAATAATGACATTATATATTTGTCAATATTATGGTGTTTTTTTGAAAGAAAATAACTTATATCAAATGAGCCAAAACAACAATCATATCCGAAGAACTAAATCTCCTTCTATACAAGTATACAATCAATACCAAAAGCCCGTCGGACCCCTCACGGCTCACGTCATGATCAGACATAGAATATTCATCGCGAAAAGAGCGAGACTAATCACTGAAATAGTGAGAGCATAGAGGCTGAGTCAGCCTCCTCCAACAAGAATTCTACCTGTTAAACTAAACAAACACATACCCCATTATTGTACGACAAAATAAAAACACAATAGCAAACAAATTGAGTTTGAAATGAAAAATGCCAAAAAAAAGTTCAGTTGTATCTCCATATCCCACTTCCTACTGCCTTCGTTCAATCGGAAAGATAACTTGGACTTCATCATCTGCGGGGCTTGAGACATCTCCCCCTCATTAATTAGCTTTGCAATTTCCCAATTCCCATTGCCCAACCTTCATTCGCCTCATGCTTGGACACGTGTGAAAGCGAAGAAATCTTTCCATCCCAAATTGGATCTCAACTTGCCATCACGTCGAACGAAACCCAGCATCTAGATGCATCGCCGGTCAATCTTTGTGATTGGTCCTCCTCCGCTGCATTGCACCGCCACACCATGGCAGCCGACGCCACCCATCAATGCAAGCCCCCCCTGAACTCGTACGGTAGAGGAACCCACTAAACACATGCGGTAGAGGAAACTCTAGATAAAACCTCATCCCCATCATTGACAAAACAAGCCCAAGATTGAGAAAATCAATCAGCCACCACACCGGATTCATTGATCCAAAACCACCACGCCGAACACAGAGGTCGGCACCAAAAAACGCAAACCCTAGATAAACTAGAAACTTTCGCCTTAGGATTTTTTTTTGAACCTCAATATTATGTTATAATATGACATTATTATTATTTCAAGATCACATTAATTATTCCCGTCTAGAAAAAGATACTTGTATTTAAGAAAATCACATTGTATTTTGCACATTGTTTAATAAATAATATCAATGTCATTAACAATATTGAATAAATAGTACGGAGTATCGTTTAACATCCTAAAAGTTAATCAATAATATCACACATTAATTACTTTATAATAATATGATTTTGTTTTAGGATAAAAAGAAAGAATATAATGTAGATAAAATCTTGATAAAGTTCAGGACTTTTTATTTGAAAATGGAATTTGTTAAATCCTATTAAAAGAATAAAAACAATTGGAGATTCCACCAAAGTTTATGAGTAATCCTACCTGAGAAATTTTGTTATGTTTAGATTATATTTAGGGAATTTTATCTATGATTAAACTTTGTTGTATTTGATTTAATTAAGAAGAATAATGAAATGCACAAAGAAAGTGGTTGCATACTTGCATATAGTAAAGCACATCATTCTTTTTAAGTTTTAACCGTAACCAAACGCAAAATATTTAACACAGACATAGTGTATGGTAATATGGGCAATTAATAAAGAGAACAATTATATAGGCAAATGTTCAGAACCCAAGTTATTCAGCTCAGAAATATTCAAAACACCTGAACAAGTACTGAAGGGTAACATATGCAAGCGTACAATGAGAGAACAATATAAGGGGCAAACAACATGTCAAACAAAGCCCTCATTCTCTGGGAGCGAACACCCCATAAAAGGATTTCGCTTACTACACGAGACATTACAACAAACCCATAGTTTATGACAACATAAAAAACGGGCAAACCGTTTTTAACACCGAAAGCATCCTGAGATTCCACCAAGGCACGAATAACTTGCGAAACAGAGCATATGAATTCACTTATTTGCAAATGCAGGGTGAATAATCCCAATTTCTGAATAGCGCAACTGGCCGAACAAACAGATGGGAACATTAGCAGATGGGAACAAACACAAATAACATGCAGAATCATTACATCCAAGTGAAAAGATCAATTCATTTTCTTCCTCCCGACTCTTTCCCAGGATTCGTATAAAACTTGAATCACCAGGTCACCAACTAATCACTGCAGTAATCACCTCTCAAATTCCCCTGGAAACTTTTAAGACTACTTGAGTAGCTCTAGTCCCACGACCAAACACCTCATTAATCCTTCACAAAAAAACCAAAGCTCTCTAGCCACACAAAAAAAATTGGAAACTACCCTGCTGGCAGACAAGTTGATGTTCTGGCCTAAACTCTACACAGATGAAACATATGTTCTGCAGATAGAACGACTCTACATACCTGCAGTTACTTACACAGCGGCCACACTTCATACAACGAGGAATGCACAAAAGACAAGCCCTGCAGGGGTTCTTGCCATGCTGCACTTTCTGGCAACTTTCTGTAGGGCAATCATAGACTAGTTTCAGCTCTCGGCACCTTGGGCACACTTCAATGTCAATCTCATGGTCGTCATCAAGCGCGCGATGCAGCTTGTCACCACAGTAAAAGTTTAATTTCTGAGCCTTTGGTAGCTGGCTGTTATCAACCCCTAAAAGTGCCTTCAACTCTTCAAATCCTTCATTTGTTATGCCAAATATTTCACCAATTCTGACAGTCTCGAGTTGCAGTTTTGGTACAGACTTCAGTATGGATAAAAGACTGTCAAACCTGATCTTCGAACATCCAGCAACACTAAGCTGTATATCATTTCAGGGGAAAAAGGTAAGGTTAGGATATTGGATATTCCTTTCGATGATACAAATAATCCTACTGAAGACAGAATAAGACTCATTACCTCAAATATGGAAGCAAAGCAAATTAAGGCATCCAAAGTGCGAACAAATTACCTCAAATAGAAAAACATGAGCAATAAGACTCATTCGATCCTTAAAAATATAAAAGTGGTATATAATTTTTCTTTTATGAGTGAATGAGGTATATTTTCAGGAAAAACCAATGAAAGCCCTATTTCAAGAAATATGTTGTACTTTAATCCTAGTTACGAAACTCTCCTACAATATGCATAAATGTCACAAAGAGCAAACACATAAATAAACCAAACAGAGAAAGATAAGAGACAAACAAACCTTTGTTAGGTTTGTATTTCTTTCAAGTACACGCTTCAACCCACTCTGGGTGATCTTTGAGCATCCCTCAAGACTCAAATAGTTGAGACTGCCTTGAGCTCTATCTGTCAATTTCAGAAGGGCCTCATCAGTTATCCTACGACTCAATGAATGATCTACTGAGAAATGTCTCCACAAGAGGGGATCATTCAGCAACGCGAGACGCATTGGTTTGCAAACTCTTTCAACAGAAAGAAGGTCCTTGACACCTAAAAAAGCTAAGGCTAGAAAAATGGCATCCGCTGGAGCACCTGTTCCTTCAAAATTACCTTCACTACACCCTTGATGATCCTTATCTGTGGCATCATTCTTAAAACAGTACCTTTCATAACAGAAACTACCCATTAACTCCACCTCCCTTTTACTATTAAATAGAACTTGCTCAGAATCCATTCTACAAACAGAAGATGTCTCATCAGAAACCATCTCCGCATAATTCGTGATGCTAGGCATCTCCTTCCACATAAAATCGAACTCCGAAAATAATCGTTTGTCCACTTTTCCAACTTTGATTTCATCTGTCTCAAATCCAGCGGCGTTTAAATCCATGTCGTTTTCAATTTCTTCAATCAGACCAGTAATTGTGGCAACACTGGCCATTGTTGTCCCAATTTCCATATCAAAAGGATCAAGGGGCAAGAAATCTACCACATCATAATCGTCATCATTAGAGATCATCTTCTCTCCTAGTTCCCAATTGAAACAATCTTGAGCATTCACTTCTTCAAAAGAATTGAACCACAAGAATTCATCAAAGCTCTCACCGGGTTTCTTCTTATCCATGAAGCACCTGTTCTCAAACTTGGCCCCAGAAATCAAGCTTTGCCTTCGATTCACCGCCTTTGTAATTTCGCTTTGCCGAGCAGCAGATATCTTCTACAATTAAAGAAACCCCTCTGGAGTTAAATTACAAGAGGAAAAAATGACCTAAGAGATGAATTGAATGATCAGAAATACAAACCTCTTAGGCAAGGGATAATTAAGGATGATATCTTGAATCTAATGGGAAGGAGAAGATGACGCTTAAGAATCTAGTTCGAGAAACAATAAGAACATTTGACCAATTATACAGTGCCAACAATTGGGATTGTATGAAATAACATTTCTACCTCTATTTTTATTTATTCCATATTTATTACTCCTTCCGGTCCTAAATAAACCTCACGCTTTCTTTTTTGTTAGGTCTAAAATAAACTTCAAATTTCTATTTTTGGTAAGTTTTTAATATTACCTTCATCCCTTAAAACTTTGACAAAGTTGACCGGCACATAGAATAATAAAGTAAAAACTGTGTGATTGAAGTTTGTGCAGATGAGAGAGAAATAACAGAAACCACAAAATAATTGATTAAAAGGGAAAGTGACAAAGTTTTTTGGGGCGTTCCAAAAAAGAAAGATTGACAAAGTTTTAAGGGACGGAGGGAGTATAAAGTTACTCTTATACCTTACTGATAGTCCCAATATCAATCAACAATCATACAAAACTTTGATTCAATACCAAGAAAGACTTAAAAATACAGAATAGGGTATCGAAATACAAATCTCCGGCTCTCTCACGCTCTAGAATGATATGTGCGTTAAAGGCTTATCAAGGCTTTGAGTTTTCTTAAGTTAACATCCTTTTATACATAATGATGACTAACTTAAGGCTTACACGTGGGCTAATGAGATGAAATACATTTCTGGCCCATATTACACATTTAATTAATAGCTACACAAATACAAAAATATTTAATTAGATTGGACACCATAAAATATTTCCAACACTTACTATTACTTTATTATCTACTTTATACTACTTTTTTCTACCATTACACTATTTACTTTTTTTAGGGGTATGGTGGGAAAGCTAAAATAAAAAATGCCACTTTCCTAAAAATCATAAAGTCAAATCATGAAGATTATTTAAGACCAAAGGGAGTATTATTTGTAATAGTAATATGACTATATGTGTAGTAAGGATATTTTCTTTTGGACTGAAATTTGCTGATCTTGTCTTGTCTGATCTGATTTGGGACTGAAAACAATTCAAAAGAAAATTCTTTCAATTCAGCACATTCAGTCTATTCAGTCTATTCAGTCGTTGCAGCCGTTACCAAAAAGACACGTGTAGTTTGTAGGGGTCTTATGCATACTACAACTCTACAAGGCGTATTGGACTAAGTTTTTGATTTGGTAAGATTAAAAATGACTTATTATTTAATTAAAGCTTTATTCCAATTTATACTTGGATTGTAATTCCTCCCAGATCCAGATCAGACCAGACCAATTCATACCAGATCAGACTTGGATAATTATAAAAATACAAAGAAACCAAACTAGACCAGATCAGTTCAGACCAGATCAGACTAGTAAATTAAAGTCCAAGTAAAAACGTCCGACAAATCTGGTTCTATTTTTTTGGCAATAAAATCTTGTTGCATTTAATCAATACTTCATTGAAACTAATATCAAGTCCCGATGGCATTCAATTAGGATTCTTTATCTTTTCTGAAAAAAATATACTGTATATCGGTATTAAAAGATATACTCATCTGGTACTCCATACAATGTATTAAAAGGTATATAATCTGGTAGTACATGTTACAATAATACAATGTATTGCATGTACTTTAAGGTAACTTTTTTTTTTAAATTAATTAGTCTAGCCCCACCAAATGTAATTTTTCTGCAAAACAACCGAAAAGAAATCATCAAGTAATGTAACTTTGTTTAATACGGAGTATAACTTGGTGTCTTGGTATTTAAATAAAAAATAAGTATTTCAAATGTGTATAATATTCATAAGAAGTAAATAATAAATTAATTATGTAATCTTACTACTATATTAATTGCAAACTCCTATATATGCTTGATTGCTTGTAACCTAGTTAATATTAGTTGTATTTGATTTTTTTGATATACATCAAACTACGGAGCGTTAACTTTCCAAAAATATACTCCCCCTTATTTGAAAGTTCTATACAATAAGAGCATCTCCAATGCTATAGTGTGTACGGTGCACATGTGACATAAAAGATAGTCACATAAATATTAGCAAATAAATTATCTCTCTCCTTATTTGAATGATTTTATACAATTTTGGTAAGTTTTCCCCTACAATGTCAACTGCAATGTCTATATCTAGACAGTCTCCTTGACATTGTGGAGAAAAACTTACCAAAATTGCATAAAAGCATTCAAATAAGGAGATAAAAAATTTATTTACTAATATTTATGTGACTATCTTTCATGCCACATGTGCACCGTGTACATTGTAGCATTGGAGATGCTCTAAGATTGGACACAACATTTATTGTAGAAAAAGTAGGAGACAAGGTGGGAAACTATAAAAAAGAAAGATAAAAAGTAAAAAAAATTAGGGTAATTCAGTATTTTTAAGGAAAAACCTACCAAAAAGAGAAAGTGTAGCAAACTTTTAAATACATAAAAAAAAAGTGTATCAAACTTTAGAATATAGAGGAAGTATCAAACTAGTTAAAATGTAAAGTATAAAAAGTTAAATATACTAATTACTAAGACATACACGTACATTAAATAAACAAATCGTGAATAAAGTGAGAAATACACACACATATATATTCTTTAGAGTGTGAATAGTGTCATCATTTGTGTCAGACCTTATAAAAAATCAAAAAATCATAAAAGTTTTTATATTACCATCTTTTTTTAAAAAAATGCACCAGACTTTTTATACCAATATAATATTATAAATTCCAATAAAATGCCATCCTTACTATATTGTGTTTAAAAGCAATGTGTAGCATTCATGAATGGTTAAGATTAACTATGGAGAGGGTGACTTTGCACCAAAATGATAGTTAAAGAGAATACATACTATCACAATTCACACATATTGCTAGGGGACTTGGTGAAAGCCTAAATTTTTTCTTGAGCTGGAATGAGACGAAAAGAACACAAAAATGTTTATAAGTTTACTTGGTAACCGCTATTTTTTAAGTCAATTCAGTCATTTCAAGTAGAATTTCACCAATTTCGATGGGTACATGTCGTCATCCAAATCACCAGGAACATAATAAAGGACGAAGTCAAGGGCAACTAGCTTAGATTCTGTGATGTACCTTTCGAAAACCGGCTCATATCACCTGCTCCTCGGTGGTCGCATCAGTCAAACTAGAGTGGAGGCGAAAAGCCTCAGAATAAGTGCACGAGAACTTCACCTCATCCCGAGGGTGACAACGACGAATTTCCCTTTCCAGCCGTGAATAGACAAGTGGAGATCCTTCAATGTCCTCTGACCTATTATGTACAGTAAATTGGCGAACCCGACACAATTCTTGTGACTGCCTCAACCGACCTTGTACAAGTTCATGAAAAGACGGAGTGTCAGTGAGATATCCAGTTTGTCACACTAGATGAGGAACCCATCCATCACCGTGTAACCATTTGGCATTAGTTGGCCTGGCAGGAACTCGGTCCCTTCAAAAGTCTCCACCAGAAAAGGATGCGAAGGAAACCACAACCCTTAGAAACACATATGGGATATACTGCAAAATTAGGGATGGACTCGGGCCGGGTGGCCCGACCCGAAACCGGCCCGGGACCGGCACTGTTCCGGCCCGGCCCGACCCGGTGGCCCGGTCAGTGACCAGTCCGGGTAGGCCCGGCCCGTGGGTTTTCCGGTCCGAGCTCGGGTCACCCAAAACAAGGCCCGACCCGGCCGGGCACGGGCCCGGTTCGGGCCAATTTTTTTTTTTTTTTTTTTTTTCAATTTTTTTAACTTTTCGGGTTGGGCTGGATATTTTGGGCCATTTGGGGTGGTTTGGGGGGTTGGGGGTGGGAGGGGGGTTAATTAGGAAGAGGAAAACAAAAAAAAAATATATAATGGGTTTGGCCCGGCCCGGCCCGGCCCGGACCCGGACCGGACCCGGTGGTTACCCGGGCCGGTCCCGGGTCCACCATTTCTGACCCGCCGGCCCGCCCGGGCCTAGGCCCGACTCGGACCCGGCCCGGACCCGAGTCCAACCCTATGCAAAATACCCCAGCGGCGGCGTAATGACATTACCCGTAGGCTTGGGGTCCTGAACTAAGACATATGGCCTGACGTACATGAGTACATCTGCGCCACGTGGAGATTGCTTTTTACATTATCCGACCGAACGAGAAGAAGGTTACGACAATCTAAATTTGAAAACCCTCGACCTGTCTCTCAAGCGTGACTCCTCCTCATCGATGGTGCAATCCTCTTGACCCCACAGATGCCAAAGAGGATTCAGACATGGTATGGTAGCCAATGCGGAGGCCTCACCAACTCCATAGGATCATATTATAACCATCTCGGCCTCACAGCCCCCAACGTCTTCCTCAGTCCGATACTCGCTCATATCGTCAATCTTCGCATCAAACTCCCCCATTTACTTCAGAGGGACCTTTGACTTCTCCAGCACGTCCTCCTCTTCGAACTTGTAGCACTCATCGACATCAGATTCAGATGCAATCGCCGAAGACCCAAATAAGTTTTGAGAGTCGGAAGAAGACATGATAAAACACCTAAGGGTTTTGAGACTAAAGATCTAGGTCAGATTGTTTCACTAACACCAAATCTACCACCCTTGAGGCAATGTATAAGAAAACAACCCGAAGAACATGCGAAAAATTGACCTTGAAGTTTTGAAGGGTGCAAAGAACAATTTCTCTCTATATTTTGGTAGCACTTCGTCACAACCAAAGAAAGATTAAAGAGTGAATGCGTTGGATGTAGGGTGTCTATAAGTAACCATCCAATGGACACTACACGTGTCACGCACCCACTTAGTGGGACAGAGGGAGCACATTTTTACTCCTGTTGAATATGTTGTTTTGTTGATGACTAACCATGTAGGTGGAATGGCGGACAGAACTGCTCTCAGTTCCATTAGGAACGAGAATTGGAACTATACTTAGTTCTGATCTATATGACTGATTGTTGTGCATAATGAATAAATTAATATGTACCTGCATGATAATACCTCATCTACATGCCTAGATTGATCATGCATATTCTTAATATACGTGGCACAATTTATATATCTTTCCGTATACGACTAAGCACTCACCTCTATGAGTTGGCCTATATAGCTTA